ATATTATATAATATATAATATATATATATATATATATATATATATATGTACAAAAAAATTTACCCATTCTGTAAGATTTACTAAACATCCACTAGTAGGTTGCAAAAGAACAGTACTCCTGAATGGTGCACCAGGAAATCCCAATTCTCGAAAAGGTGTATCAAACTCAATTTCTTGCTTTGTCATACTTTCAACCTAAATAATATTTGTTATTTCTTAAAACGTATTTATTAATTTTGCAAAATATAATATTTTAGTCATTAAACATTACTTTTTCACAAAAACTTTTAAAAGCAGTTTTTAATTTGTGCCTAAGTTCACGTTCTGATTGTTCTGCAGCAAGATCGTCACGATCATGCATGTGTTGATGTTTCCCTAAATCTGTAGTAATTTCACCAACTTCTGTATAAAATTGTACATCCACATGTTTTTTTTTACCAAACATGATTGCGTGCTGAAAAAAGTTTAATATATTTAATAATTAAATTTTTATAAAAATAATAAAAAAAATAATATAAAGGATATATATACTTTTAAATGAAAATGAAGCAATATAATCATTTCGCCATCACAAGGTTGGAAAAAAGCATTCTTAATATTATTGTAAAGAATATCAACTTTATCGCCTCTAACCGAAGTGTAGCGAAATCCATTCACATGCGCTTCTAATCCTCCTGTCATTCTTTTTGAAACAATATTTGGTCGAATATATAAATCTTTTAGTTTTGGATTACCCTTATTTTGAGATAGTATTAAAGTATCTTGTTTTACAAGATCTTCCTTCTCTCTTTCTTCTGCTTCTCTATTTTTAAATTTTTTTTGAACTTCTTTGATTAATCTAAAAGCTGTATTTAAATTAGAAGACGGTGCTGAAATTTCACCAGGTTCTTTGGTATTTGTACTTCGATATGTTCTAAAAAATAAAAGTTTTATTAATATTAAACAATTCATTTTAACATCATTCAATTTGTAAAAAATTGTAAATATCATAATAAATGATAAAAAGTTAAACAAAATAATATACTAACACTTCTTTTACAAATGTAGCATCAGGTTGTGGATAAGATCCTCCTTCATTCCGACCCATTGTGGCACCAGGATGAAAAAAATTTATTCGGAGATATGTATAATCTCCTTCTACTGACTGTGAAATATTTTTAATTGTGGATATGTGGAAAGGTACAGGAATTCCAAAAATAGGAAGAATTACAGTTTCATATTTTTTATCTGAAATATGAACATGCAATATAATATAATGCATATATAAAAATTAATTTACAAAATATACTTACCAACATATAATTTCAGTTCTTTTACTTCTGGTTCTCGTGGCATATGACTTAAACTTTTATATGATATTGTTGATTTTCGTATTTTTTCTTGTTCTTTTCCACCAGACTGTTGTGCCAATCGAGCTTTTGCAACTTCATTTAATTGCTGTGCCAGTTCTTTTTGATGTTGTTTTCTTTTTTCTTCAGAACTATGTTCTGTTCTTAATTTAGATTCTATTACAGCTGTTCTTTTTCCACGACCAAGAATCTCAGGTTTAGGTTCATTTTCTTTTCCACTTCCTTCTTCCTCTTCTTCTTCTTCATCCTTAACAAATATTCCAATATTTTTTACTTTTTTCTTTGATGGTGTCAAATTTGTAGCAGGTTGTCCCTGAAATAAATATATCATTTCAATTTGTAATATATTATATAAAAAAATATATAACAATTTAAATCCAACATAAGCAATATAATATAATACCTCATTAATCATAACTGTATCACCAATGAAAAGAGCATAAATTTTTCCTTCTTTATCAGTAGCTTCTGAATTAATAAGGTTTGCTAATCCAACATTAACATTAAATACCATGCCTTTCTTTAATGTTGCATGAATTTTTGGACCAATGAGTAAAGAGCTTTCTCTGAATTCAATACCCATTGCAAATCCAAAATGTTTTGTTAAATGATCTAACATTTCTGGTTTTTCATCTTTTACATATTTAACGCCTGTTTCATATACCTCGCTTATTTTCACTCCTGCTACTAATTTCTTTAAAATTTCCTCTTCTAATTGCAAAAGAAAATTATAATTATCCTAAAATAAGAACATATTATAAAACAATTAATTTATTATTAATTTATTTTATTTTTTCATTTACCTCAATAGTTTTAGTAGGATTTACTAATAATGTTCGTACTATATTTGAACAATAAGATTTGTAACGTGCTCCAAGAGAACAGACAATAACACCAAAATGCAAAGTGTTTTTATCACTAACAACACTAAACTTTAGAGAATAATTTCCACCACTTTGTATTATTGCAGGATAACACATATCTACTTGGGTAACATCAACACTAGTCACATACTTCTTATTTGTTATAGCTGCATCTACACCTTCTGCAAGCTTTGAATGCTTAACTTTCTAAAATAGTTATATGTTAAGATGAATTTCAAGATATAAATATTTATATTTTCAAATTTCTGAATAAATAAATAATACATAAATAAAAATCAAATACCTTATCAGAATCTATAATTTCCATAATTTGATCTTTAAGATATTTTGTAAAAACGTCCACAGATACTAAACATGCTTTTTTTACAGTAAGAATTTCAGCATCTTCTTTTGGACACATTACATATGCAGCTGCAGCACTTACATCAATCTAATACATAATATCATAATCAAATTTTGTAATATTATAATGATTTGCTTGATATATTGTATAATACAAAGCAATATCATACCGTATCAAAAGATTCTGACTTTAAAGCAGCTCTCCATGCATCCATAAAGGCACCTGGATAATTTTCTTTAGAAAAAACACCCAATGTTTTACCCTTCTTACTTTGTTTTATAATTTCAATAAGTTTGGCAAAATTTGCTTTGTCTTCATCATTCTTGAAAATGAAATTATGATCAATATTGAGTAAAATCATATAATTATTTTTAAAAAAATATAAATTATAAAAAATACATACTCTATCTCTCACAAGAAGTTTCACAGGAGGTACTCCAGTTTCTTCCGTTTTCTGATTTTCAAGTTTTCTTAAGAATTCAATTTTTTTTTGCTAGCCAAAAAACAATAGATTCTTCTGCTAAGATCATTATAGTATCTGTAAGTTCATAACTCAGGAGCCATGTCTAAAATAATATATTAACATTAATATTTTATACATAACATAAAAATAACAATATTTTTAATAACAAAATAAAAATTATATTTTAATTATTTAAGTAAATTTATTTTCTAATTTTAATAATTTCGCGAATTATTTTAAGTTTTACTGTCACAAAATAAAAATATAAATGTTTTTTGAATCATAAAAATTAGGTTATTTTATCGTTACCAAATACGCAATACAAAATACAACACGCAGTATCAATATCTAAGAAAGCATTACTTGTAACGCTGTCGATTTGCTATACACAATATCTTCATCCGTGCCCACAGCGGAGACGAGACAATCCATTTTACTAAAACTGTCATCTGTACCAACTTCTCCATCCTATTTAACAAAAACAATTATTCTTATTTATTAAATAATTATGTTATTTTTAACGATGAATAAATCATTATAATTCATTTTACCTTCCATGCCATATAAAGCCGCTTCATACGCCGAAAGAATGTCTCTTTATCAACAGATACGTTTGCCATGTTGTTTTAAACTTGTTCAGCGTAACACAACACGCGGTTGTATGAAATCAACCACAGCCTACCTAAGTACTAAGTAAGTACTCTATCTATATATATAAAGTAGACTATGAATCAACTCGACATTAAATTATAATAAATCTTTCCAGCTTAAATGATAATGAACGAAACATTCAAATGATAGAAAATGCTGTAATGTTATCACATTTTCTTTAATATTAAACAAGTATTGCTATTAAAATTCGTTATGAAAGTGGCGGGAATTATAACCAAACTGCAACTGTAATCCACAACTAAAGCGCACGGCGGGAACGGTTTAATGCAACATAGTTGGTTGCTAATCAAAGAAAATTCAAACGCTACAAGCGGTCAATTAGTCAACTAATTTTAATATTACTATACATATTGGTACTAATCAATTTTAAGTGTTATTATTTAAATATAAATTAAAATAATAAATAATATTATATTAATACAAAAATATTTTTATTTTTTAAGAAAAAATGTAAACTGGTATAATAATATGAAAGCAAAAATATTTTTAATATAGATGTATAAAGATTATTTTAATATAAATTATTTTTTTATGATAAGATGTTAAAATGTTATTTCATTATTTTTGGCATATATTAATCTATAAAAAATAAATGCATGATTATAAAAAAATATATTTAATGAAGAATCTTAAGTTTATTTAGTCTGTGACTAATAGTAATAAGTACATGCAGACATGTGTACAATAGTACATATAAAATACTTGAGTTTTATATCAAGGTGTCAAGTAATTTTATACTATAAATAAAACTTTGACTTCAATAAAATAATATTGTAGAAAATAATTAATTTGAAACAATGGTATAATTTATTATGATTATTTTTTTTTAATAATTATTATGATATTATAAAAAGCTATATGATTATAATTCATTGACATTATTGCTTGTTCATGTCGATTTATTAATGTTACCTTATATGTTATTGAGTGAGTGAAAAATATGCATGTGTTTTTTAACATAAATCTTACTGAAATGATTCAGTAAATAATATCATGTAATTACTATTGTGACTCATTTTAATTAAAATTACATTTACAAGTGTAATCGTATTAATATGTAGTTATAGAAAATAATGAAAAAAGTTCTAAGAAGAAAAAATTTCAGTGTAATTAGAGAGAATTATTTGTTCTTTAATGATTTATTGAATCTAATCTACAAAAATAATAATTATTATTAGTGGTTTTTCATCAAGTGTGTAAAAACACTTGTGAAAACCGAGATAGTATAACATATCATGAATGTAAGTATAGATTTTACAATGTTTGTTTAATATAATTTAATATAATCATAAGACAATTACTTTGATATATATAAATATCTATTTAGAACAATATATTTAGAATGTATACATATTAATATCAAAATTATTTGTAATTAAATTTCAGTAACTTTTCAGAGAAAATCTCAAATATTATCTCAAATATTTTAAATATTCATTACTCATTATCATTTGTAATATATAAAAAACATTTTAATGAATTCATTTTTCTGGAAATAAATATATACTTATTATAATTATTATAATAACTTATTATAATATTATAAAAATTCATTTATAAATATTTAAATATTTTTTAATTAAAATAATAATTAAAATACTTATATATTTTTATTAATTTTGCAAAAAAGAAAAAATATTTTAATGATTATTTTTTTAAAAGTTAGTGTTATATAGCTCTTAAATATATGATATTTAATAAATTCATTTGCTTCTTTTGCAAACTATTTTAAGAATGTCTTGTTCTATATTATTCTGGTATTTAGACATGCTTATATAACTGACATTAGATTACTGACTTGATGAAGTTATTTTCAATGACATCTCCTGAATGTAATTATTTTTAATAGTGTTTTATGATTAATCAGTCTATAACATTGTATAGGACTGATGTATTCAATATGATTATTTACCAAGATTGACAAGATAATTTTTAACATAACCTTATTATTACTAATAAATTAATCTTTTTCATATGTTAATCTTTAAAATAAATTTTTGTTTAATAAATTAATGAATAAAAATTATTAATGCTTTTTGAAATAATGCTTAATTTTTTATTTTTTTATTATTTTTAATGTAATTTAAATAATTTTTACTTTTATCTTACTTTTATATATATAATTTTTTATTTAGGTGAACAGTATAGCAGAGAGGTGGTATCGGGAAGGTGGTTGACACGCTTTCATATTTTTGAAATGATTGAAAGTGTATCACGTAGAGCGTTGAGTGGCTCCAGTGGGAGCTACCACGTTCGTGGAGCTGAATTAGCAAGAAATCGTAGATTAAAATCTCTATCTGCTACTGTTGTCTTTCTTGATGATACACAGCATACATTTCAACTAGATGTAAGTTTATTTTAAATAAAAATGATTTTTAGTATTATAATTAATATAAATATTTAAATATTTTTTAGAAAAGAGCAAAAGGTCAAACATTATTAGATTTAGTATTCCAACATTTAGAACTTGTTGAAAAAGATTATTTTGGTTTGCAATATGCTGAAAATGGAGTTGCAATATGTACATATTCTCCAGATGTAATGGTAAATCTTTTTATTGAATTTATTAAAATTTGAAAAAGTTTATAGTAATTAAATAATATTATAAATTTATTTTTTAGAGGTGGTTAGATCCTAGTAAACCAGTAAAAAAGCAGATAAGAAGTAAGGGTAAAGATCGTATTTAGACTTATTCACATAATTAAATACAAAAAATAAAAGATAATTTAATATCCTATATTGTTTCAGGTGGACAATTCTATTTTAGAGTTAAATTTTATGTATCTGACCCTAGCAAATTGCAAGAAGAATATACTAGATATCAATTTTATTTACAAATACGAAGAGATATTTTGCAAGGAAAACTTCAGTTATCACCAAGTACAGCATGTCTTATTGCTAGTTATACTGTTCAATGTGAGTATTGAGATAAATTTATATTTTATTTTAATCTAAAATAAGAATTTTTAGTTTATAATACTATATATTATATTTTTAATTAGCTGAGTTAGGTGATTATCATCCTGAGGAACATGGACCTGGATATCTTTCCAGATTGCAGTTAATACCTGGTCAAACTGAAGAAATGGAAAAAAAAATAGCTGAACTGCATAAACTTCATAAGTAGGTTGAAATTAGTAAAATTATTTTGTAATATTAATAATTTAAATTTTATAATATATTATAAATTTTATATAATTATATTAAAAATATTTCTATATTTTTAGAGGCCAATTACCGGCAGATGCAGAATTCAATTTTTTAGATCATGCAAAAAGATTAGATATGTATGGAGTAGAATTACATAAAGCTAGAGTATGTATTCATCTTTTAATTTTCTTTATAAATTTATCAAATATTTATTTTATTTTAATTCCTATTTTTTTCTTTTTTAGGATTCAACAAATAAAGAAATACAATTAGGAGTAACGTCTATAGGTTTAGTAGTATTCCAAAATGGAATAAAAATTAATGTGTTCTCATGGTCAAAAATAGTTAAAATATCATTTAAACGAAAACAATTTTTTATTCAACTAAGAAGGGAACAGGTATTCTAAACTTTTATAATAAAAAAGTAAAGTTTAAATTTCTTTAGGTTCTACAAAGCAATTCTATTGCAGTCAGAAAACTATGATACTTTATTAGGATTTAATATGCAAACGTATCGTAGTTCAAAAAATTTATGGAAAGCGTGTGTAGAACATCATACATTTTTTCGACTTCATAGTCCTAAAACAAGACCGAGACGTTTTCCACTTACTTTAAGTAGCAGATTTACGTATTCAGGACGTACAGAATTTCAAACAGTAGAAGATGGAAAACATAGAGCAAGAGTAGAAAGAACGTTTATACGGTAATATTAATTTATTTATTATTAATAATAATATTAATAATATAAATATAAATATTAATTTAAATTGTTTAGTTCTCCAAGTAAAAGATTAGTACATGGAGTAACATCAGCTCCGATTGAAGAGAAAGGAAAATTATCTTTACCTGCTGGAAGACCATCTAGACCATATGATAACAAAGTTCAGTCTCTTGGTGCTCGTGAACCTCGTCGAGCATGGGGTGAAGGGAATCCTAGCGATGAGTTCGTTGAAACTAATTTAATATTTTTATATTTTTATATTTAAAATCATTTTTATTTTTTATTTCATAGTGAAGGTGGTTTTTTGTCTCTCCGTGAAGAAATAACAAGTTCACATACACAAGGAAATGCATTTTCGCCCGTATTAGGTTCTAGAGTTTTAAGTTATGCTGATGATGATACAACTACTGAAAGAAACATTTATGATCTTCCTGCTTATAGTGAACCTACGAGTTCACCTGCTCCTCAGGTATTTATTTTTAATGTTTATAAATATTTTTTGAATATACAAATATGGATATTTTAGATAGTGGAAGATGGATTAGTTACAATATCTTTGACACCAGATGAACAAGGTCGTTTTGGATTTAATGTGAAAGGTGGTTTAGATCTTGATATGCCTATTTTAGTATCAAGAGTAGCTCCAAATACTCCTGCTGATCGTTGTTATCCAAAATTAAATGAAGGCGATCAGGTAATCGTTATATATTGTTAAAAACATATTTATTTTCAAATTAATCTAAAATTATTTACTATAAAAAAATTAAAATAGGTAGTATATATAAATGGAATTGATGTAAGTGGCTTATTACATGAACATGTAGTAAATTTAATTCGTCAATCTCGTGATTCGGGTTCTGGTGAATTGACGTTAACTGTTAGACCGAATGCGTTATATAATGCATTAGCTGGTACTGATGAAACATCTGAAGAAGAACCTCCATATAGGTATAGTTTATTTATAAATATTAAAAATAATATTTGATGTATTATTTGAAATATTATATATAAAACTATATAATATATAAATACTATATAAAACATAATATTTAATATTTTATTTTATCTTGAAATAATAAGGTATGTTCCGGATGCACCTCATGCAGCTATTGGATCAGATGCATTAGCTCAATCAATGTTGCTTCTTGCTGATGGTCTTGCAAGTGGTGCTCTAATCGCACAATATGAACAATTATATAGAAAAAATCCTGAACTTACATCTCTTGAATCTAAAAAACCTGAAAATCAGAATAAAAATCGATATCGAGATATTTCACCATGTAAGTATAAAAAAGAGAAGAAAAATTTAAGATATATAATGTCTCAAAAATGTTGGAACATCTATAAACTAGAGATTCTTCAAAGAGAAAATTCAACTAATATTTTCCTTTGCAAAA